TAGGAGTAGGAGTAGGAGCAGCAGCATTTGTGCTTGTAGTGGTGGTGATCAGTAGCGGCGGTCGGTGGTATTCGTGGTTGCTGTTGTCGCCGTAGCTTTCGTGATACTAGAAAACTAAATTTCAGGATGGTGCATCAATAATTTTACAATAATCCACGCTGTATCTGTGACGTAGTATTCACTCTGAGACTAAGATAATCTCTGATTCCAGCCTGGACATGTGGCCAGTTGCATTGGAGCGCAGTGGGCAGAAATGTTACGGAATGACGCAACATGTCCGAGCCACCCATGACTTTTGGAGTGCAGCTCCTGCCTCATCAACACGGCTTGCTCTGTCAAACTGGGATCTGCTCGCTTGAAGCCTCAGCCGTCTCCGATACGCAGAAAAGGTGCCAAGGCATCGTTGCAGCACTGCGGCTGTTTGCCTAGCGCTCTAAGGCTGGAGCTACCTGCGACCACGAGAACTGACTTGATAGCTCTCATTCCCCAATCGTACCTCCAATGCGGACGGGATCAGCTTCACTGTGGACAAGCCCATCCCCCGAGGTGGGCATGGCACCACTTCTCTCCCCTTGAGCCCCGAATCAGGGCACTTGTTGGATTTCGACAGCAAGTCCTGAAACGTGCAGGCTGCGCAATCTTCGAGCATGATCCGTCTCGGTTCTTCGAGATGGAGCGTTTTGCATCTTTCACGCTGCAAACCGACACGATTTAAAATCGCGCTTTGTGAAACATCAGGTAGAGCTGCGGCCGCTTAGGACACCGTCACGTCCGTCGGAGCTCCCTAAACCAAGCGTCTCGGCTAAGTGCTGGTGTTGAACCTCGCGGCCTCAGGCTCGCATGTTGCAGCTTGTCCCTTCCCACGTCAAGAGTCAAGACTGTGATTACTGACTTTTTGAAATTTGCAAAACTGCACTCGTCTCTGGGGCAACCCGAGTGCTGCGCTGCTGCGGCCTCCAGCATCTCGTAGGAGCCTGGGAGCGTTTGCTCCGAACTTTGAGAAAGCTCGATGGCTGACAGCTGCTCTGGCGTGCATGGGAGCAGGGCTCGAGCAAAACCTGTCTACCTTCTGGTTGTGCTCCGTTATTCTGGTTTCTGCCCTCGCTGCCATGGCTCACAACGGTTGGGGAGCGGGCTGCTGGGTGCATCCGAAGCATCCGCCTCTCAGGGTCGGAAACATAAAGCGGATGTGAGAACATCACTGCTAAGCGGGTTGGGCATGCGGAGGTGGGTGAAGCCCCGTCAGTGTCGAAGTTCCTCAACCAGGCAGAATGGCCTGAAGAGGGACAGGATCCACCGAAGTCAAGTCCGCCTGTCGCCTAAGACACCGTGGCTCGACTCGGACCGGTCGTTTACTCGGAGCTGAGCTGCCAACCTCTTTGGACAGGGCCTGTGTGGAGACGTGAGGCTTTCGATCTGACTCGAAGTCTGCAGAAAAATTTTGAGGACACGGCCGCAATGGAGACAGCAAGGAAAGCTCAAACTCGGTGCCTGACCAACGAGGAATCGATGCACAAAAGGCTGCTTCTTCTGGGCAGGATGGTCCGAAGCTATTTTCCGCTGCATCTACATCCACATCTGGGGTGTCGTCTGGAGAAGGTTATGGCTCGGCAGTGCGCCAAAACGACAACCTGAATGATGTCCTGAAGTCTTATCTACGGGCCTTGATTGGCGTCAATGTAGTTCTCGCAGGACGCATAAGCAAGCTTGCCTCATCTGTGACACGGGCAGGTGTTCAGGCAAACAAGCTTAAGCAAATGGACACACAGCAGCGTGTCTCCAAGTATCGGCTTCAGCCTTGTCAGCACTAGGGAACGCACATGCACAAAGCATGACAAACAGCGTCGGCACACCTGGGCGCTGGGATGCTAAAACTTCCCCAAGCAAGGTCTACATTAAGTTCACGTAGCACGGCGTCACGGGCAGCAACTGCCAGAACTACCGCGGTTGGAACACGGCGTGTGCGGATGAGGCCGGGACATATTTCAGCCTCTTGGGCACCGAAGCAGAAATCAGTCCTTCAGGGTCACAGACTTCAAGTAGGGGTGCCTGCCCTGCACAGCAGAGGCAGCAAAAGCATGTGAAAGCCCGAGCTCAGGTGAGAGCAGCAGTGCTATCCAGAAGCCAGCCTCGGCTTGCAGATGTTTTGCTGTCCGAGATGATGATGGGGGTTTAGGCTTTAGGGTTTAGGGTTTAGGGTGTAGGGTTTAGGGTTTAGGGTGATGATGATGATGATGATGACAGAGGTTGTGACGGTGCTGGTGATCTCCTGTTGATGCTGGTGGTAACGATGACGCTGATGCATTGAGTCATGAAGGGGCAGAGAGGAGGATGACGAAGGCGACGACGATGCTTCTAACTTAGCGACTAGTAGGACGTTGATCATACTACATGTAATAACAAATACAAACACTAATATTAATAATAGGAATACTAATACTCACAATAACAATAGTAACCATGATCATGAGAGAGATCATGAAACGGGTCCGGGGAGCTGCCACGAGCTTCTTTCTCTTCTGCGCCTCGTCTGCATCGAAGGTTGCCAGGCCTTGCTCTCAAGCTTGGGAGCGATCTACTGCAGTACTTGTCGCAACACACCCAACACGTGTAACACGCACACACACACACACACACACACAAGAATGCCTCGTGCCTATAGGCGGTTGCAATTTATGCAGGTGGCTGTGTTATGCGAGTCATAGTCCTTCTATCTCTCTGAGCACCTCCCAGGAACAAACCTAGCAAGCCATAGACAGCCACGTTGAGGGAACTGACTCGATCGGGCAGCCTTTCTTTGGGCTAGACTTCAGGGCTTTGGCCCCGAAGGGTTTGCTACAGTCCCAGCAAAGGATTGTGGAAGTGAGCTTGTGATTAAGCGAACTCGAGCTCACTGTCAGCAGTCCTCCCAGATGTGTTCTCGGTGGTCCATGTTATCTCGCTACTTGCAGACCTAGTCATTATGGCGTGCCCGAGAGTTTGCCTGTTGCCTGTCTGTTTCGATCTACTCTGAGTCAATCTCTACACATAGAACCCAAAGATAACAGGGATGACGTTGATGACGATCATGCTGCTGCCGCCGGCCATGGGATACTGTTGATGAGGTTGGTGATCATGGTGATGATGTCAAGAGGATTTTTGCGGCTGTTGGTGGTGGTGATGGTGACGACGACGCTGCGCTGGCATATTTTTCACCTTGCTGACGAAGGCGATACAACTAATCAGGATGATACTAGCAATGGCGAGGACGAGACGTGGATGATGATTCGTGCTAAGGATGATGCTAATGGGAGTGATAGCAAGAAGAACAGACATGTCAACCATGCTTGTGCTTCTGGCGGTGAGGTTGAGGTTGTTGGACTGTGTCGGATTGTGCACATAGATACGCATGGCGCGACAATCCGGCAAATTTCTGCTCTGCACTCTCACGTCCACCGAGGTATATCTACACATCTCTGCATACCCGAGGAAGGCTAGGAATACCAGCCCTGATGATGAGGCAGCTTCTCAGGCTTGGCCACAGCTCAGTTGCAGTCTGGACAGGAGGCCCGAAAGGTAACACATGGGCCACGGGTCGAAACTCTTCTTTGAAAGTTTGCTCCTATAGGATTCGTCTCTTCTTCTGCCCATTCATGGGACTCTCGGAGACTCCAAGCAGGTCTTGCACCTGAGCTGACAGTACTCAAAAACCATTTCAGGGTTTGGGGCTTCTAAGTTTTGGGGCGGGTTTGGGGTTCCCGACACTGAACTTCCAACAAAGCGGCAACGCGCGGCAGCTTGCCAGCTTTCAGCTGTGCTTGGACAGTCTTGTTGTTGTTGCCAAACATTCGGCAAGCCTTCCTGGCAGAGGTTTCACCAGCTCGAGGGTTGTTTCATGCTTTAAGAGTTTAGAGAGTAGGGTCTAAGTTCTAAGGCTAAGGCTTAAGGGCTTTTCGCAGGTCCACCCACGCCTCAGGGTGTCTGGGCCTTTGTATGCAGCCGCCTCGCTGATCGCGACGAAGTTCTCGTCGTTGATCAGCGTCTGCAGAATCCCACTCAACATTACAACGATGTAGTCGACGGCCCATCTGTGTCCCAAGTCCATCGCTGTGAGGACAGTTTCCCACTCCAGATCGTTGCAGGTGCATCCAGTGTAAAGCACCTCAAGGAAGAGGGAGACTCCACTGCTGCTGGCGTCCTGTGAAAAAGAACTGGGAAAGCTCCGTTCGAGGTGAACCTACCCGGGATCCGACTAGGGAGAAAATCAAAGGAGCCATGTGTTCAAAGCTCCTTCACGTCGATGGTCTTTCTGCGAGCCTCTACCAAAGAGCCGAATAGCATGGCATCTAACACGGGCGATGCTTTTTGCAACACCCTTAGTGTTGGCGCATAAACATTGGCCTAATTTACCTGCAGACCAAAGGGAAATTCCTCTAGACACAAACCAAGGGTCAGGTCGTGCGCCGTGACTTGTCCGTCGGATGTTTCGAACGTCACATTGTGGGTCTTGCTGCAGTGGCACAGGCTCTCCCACAGCTCCAAAACGCTTCGACTGATTGTGATTCTGGGCGGTTTGACATTCGCCTGTCATCAGCTGCATCCGATTGGAGATGACTTCACGAGAGCTAGAGCAATGTGTTGATTGAGTGTTGAAGACTGTTGAAGTTTCGCCAACGACAATGTAAGCTCTCAGCGGGCTTTTGTGCCCAAAGTTCCTGCAAAACTGTATTGTCAAGCCACCCCCCGCCCTGCAAGCCCGCCCCAACTCACGGGTGAGAAGGCCGAAGGTCTCTGCTCTGTCATAACCCTGACGGCTGTGATCCTGGAGCCGGTACTTCTCCTTTTGATGGCAGTGATGTGCGCGTGACGATGCGCAAGCTTTCCGGCAGTTGCCTCTGGATACGCAAATACTTCGTGGCCCGTGACCCTTGTCGCCCTTGTCGGATCTGGATGGCAGTCTTGCTTGCTGACATGGCCTTCTTCATGGGCGTTCATGCTTTTCCTAACGTGCTTCGCCTTGCGTGAATGCCCCTGTCACACAACTGTATCGGGCACTTGCGGCCGGGAGCAAGTAAGGCCTGGCGGTACGATGCAGCTGGTTTCCTGTGTATCGGCTCCGTAACTTCAGACGGGCATCCCAAGAAGACACCCAAGCCTACAAAATCACAAAGCCCGAAGACAAAGAACCTCAACCCCAAACTCCCAAAAACTCCCAAACCCCCTAAGCCCACAACCCTGCAACGCCCGACCCCTACCTCTACGGTTGAACCCATGGGCCCCTAGTATGGGCCCTTTACCCTGAGACCCTTCTATACCTACTATATACCCTGATATGTACCCTTAAGGGACCCTAGAACCCTCCTAAGGGTCCATATTAAGGGGCCCATACTTCTAACCTTGGACTACCGGATCTGTCTTTGCCTCGGTCTTGGCCATCCGTGCCAGCGCTCCCTTCAGGTATTCGATCTCCCGAGTCCAGTCGGCCTGCTGCTTTCCTGTTCAGGGCTTATAGGGGTTCAGGGTTTAGGGTTTAGGGTTCAGGGTTTATAGGGGGGTTAGGCTTTATGGGGGTTTAGGCATCGTACTACAGCGATGAGCTGCGAAAGCCGGTCTGCAGAAGGCTTTTCCTTTTTCTCTCCCACCCCACGCCGCATAAGGCGGCAAAGGCGGCAAAACCACCCAAACCTATTCCTTTTAGAGTTGAGGCCAAAACTCATGTCAAAGCGACGTTTCTCCCTTCGTCGCGAGGCAAAACAATGTAACAACAGGCCGTACTGCGGATGCTCCTAGTCTCTTCAATCGTGGCTCGGGCTGGGCTTTCCTCCGGTCTTAGGGTCTAAGACCCTAAGGTTTGGCAAGTTTAGCGTCCTGCCTTTTTGGGCACAGGTCGAAAGGAATGAGAGACGGCTTGCATGCAGGGGTCGAGGGTTAAGGTCTCGGACACAGGTTTCGTGCGAATATCAAGAGTGTAAACAAGCACGCTACCAACACGCTGTAAAGCGACCTCTGCCAAGGAAACAAGTTGCAGGGTTGAGGTGAGGCAGGGCAACAAACCAAGGCATAAGCTGTCCAGCAATCAATCCTCGATCTCAAACACTTTGTAGCTCAGGTCTCAAGTGGGTGGACAGTTCAGATCTGTGGAAGAATGAGCAAGACAGAGCGCAAGAATTTCCAAGAGTGGTGTGGTGCATGTTGATGTGTTTTTACCGGAGACGGATGCTCGAAGTCTGCTTAGATTGAAATGCGCTGAGACTGATTACGCGACCGCACGCTTGAGGTCGTTCGGTGACGTGATTCACATGTTCGACTCTCTGTTGCCATACACTGCTACAGGTAGTCTCATGTGCCCCAGCTTGGCGCCTTTCTGGCTCATCTCATGCTCCAAGCACTTTCGGCAGGAGAGTACCAGGGAAACAGCAGAATGATTCTTGTAGTCGATGTGGACCCGCGTTCCTGCACCGAGCGCTTATAATGGCGCGCATTCGGCATCACTCGGCATTTTCAGCAGGCAAGTCCTTTCTTGTCGTGGTTCTTCCAAAGATCTGTACCATAGGTGCAGGAAACGGGGGCTTGTTGGGCTGGGTCAGCTCCTTCTCCCACCACCCACTCGATGACCCGGAAGTACGGGTCGAAATCCTCCGACGAAATGCCGGCCAGGGCTGCCTTCCTGGGACAAGACACATCCTCAAAGCAACAGAAGCCTATGGCACCAGGCAACAAAAACTACTGGGATGGCGGTCTTGTTGCAGGATACATCCCAAAGCCAAAACGTGAGTTCCTCAGACCATGGATCCTCAACTTACCCTCGGAAAGCTGAACTTGCCTGAAGAACAAGGAAGAAACTTGAGAAAGATTCTGCATCTCCATATTTCGATCCTGCCGGTAGACCCCTTCAACAGCCAAGAAGCTGCAGAGGAGTTATCTTGTCATCCTCGTGGATGGACAGCCACGCGAAGTGGGGGGGAGTGAAGGCTTGTAGATTCTCGAGATCCCCGGTGTCAAGTAGGGACCACACCACATTGTCATGGCATGCTTTCATGACGCTTCCTGGCTTGAGCCATGGTGTCAAGCAGCATCAGCACTTGCAGCGCACAGTCATTTCCAGTGCAGTAGCCCAGGGCTAGGGATCGAAAGCTAGGCGGTGCTGGCTGCGCATCGAAGGCTAGGCTCTGCTAGGCTCGCGGCGACCGAAGGCAGAGTACATTACGATGCAGACCGAGACCTTGTAGCGAGAGCGAGCCAGCTCCATCTCGATCGATACAGCAACTGAGAACTCCGCCAGCAAGCCCTTCCCAAAAAGGTCTCGATTGAAAGGCACCTTCCTCGAAAGGTGGCGGGTGCAGGCGAAAGGAGACCAGATTCACAATCTCGTTTGCATTCCATGTTGGTTTATATAAGCCGGGCGCATGTACGCCAACGACGCGTACACAAGGACCCACGCCTGGGCACAATTTTCAGCTCTTGAGCTGCAGCCATTCTTGGAGCCAAACCGGTGACACTTGCGCTCTGGCGAAGAAGGTCAGCACAACCTCCAGGACCATGCGGGACATGTGGTGGCACCTGGAACAGCCACGTGTCATCCGTCCCATTGCCTGGCTTCTCTACCGGGGAGCTGACATCCAGCAGTAAATCAGGATGACCACAGACAGCAAAGGGACCTCACAAAGGCTGAGTTGAGGCTTCAGATGCTGCTTGATGAGGCCCCTGGCAGCCTGGATACGCCAAGGCAGTTGCCGTATGCCGTCCCCAAGCTCGTAGAGATCAGGGGGCCCCGGCTCCCACAACAATGGCAATGAGAGGCACGACACCCGTCAGCGCCAAGAGACCCGAAGGGTCGTCCTGGCACCAGGACACCATGTCTCCCTAAAGCCCTAAACGGCCCTAAATTAAAGCCTAAAGCTCATGGTTGCACTGACAACAGAGCAGAGGCCTCCGATCCGAAGCGCGGCAGCGAGTTGCCGCTGCCCGAACCCTGAAATCTCCAGCGGTTCCTTTACGGCGGAGATCAGAAGCACCGGGCCTCTGCATCCGAAACGGCCTGGCTCACGGCTTATCCACCGGCTTTGACGAAGTCACACGGCCCACAAACATGATTCCTAATTTATAATGGCTTCTACCACATGGGGGTTTCCAAAAATAGGGGACCCTACTATAGTACCCTAAATAATAGGATTCTTATTATAAGGACCCCAAAATAAGGTACCCCTTGTTTCCGGAAACTCCCATATCGCAGGACCCTTTGGGTCAACGGCCCAAGTCCCGCACCGAGTTAAAGGTCGATGCGCTCGAAGACACGATCTCAGGCCTAAGGGTTTAGGGTTTAGGGTTTAGGGTTTAGGGTTCAGGGTTTAGGGTTTAGGGTTTAGGGTTTAAGCAGCAGAGACACCACTCTACACAGTACAATACCCTACCATACCACACGACACGATACGGTACGATACAGTACAATAAGTACGACAACGCAGTACTTCACAATACAATGCAATACCAAACAATACAAGACTAGACAAGACCATACAATATCGTGGAAGAGACTGTGGTATCATAGAATATACAAAGCCAGAAGAGAAACAAAACACGCTTAGAACAAAATATTTTCCAATATCACATATTAAAGCATATGAAAACGTGACATAATATATGAGGATACAACACAATACTACAATTTACATATCATCATATAACAGAATAGAATAGAATAGAATAGAATAGAATGGAATGGAATGGAACAGAGACTATACAATGCAACATCATAAAGACATGGTATAATATGATAAATACAAATGTAATAGAACATAATGGAACAGAACAAAACACGATACGATATGATATAAGGTTCCACTGTACAATAAAACATCTGTTCTGAAGTAGGATATACCGACTGTCAAAAAATCTGTCATTATAGAAAAGGCTACATAGTAAACAATGGAACGAACTATATTATAGACAAATTACATCACCTGACAAAAAAGTATGATGTAACAAAGACTGCATGATATAATATGATGTTATAGTATACTGTAATATAACAAACTATAATATAATAATATATGATATAACACAATGACAATAACCAAAAATTATCATCCAATGTAAATATTAAAAGATGTAAGATCATGTACACTAAAAGGACTACAATGCAACATATTCGAATGTACTTAAATACTTTCCCAACTCAGAGAAGTAATGACCGTCACAGACTCGAAAAGTGCGTGATAGTGGACCAGGACGGGAAAGACATAGCCGTGCATGGCAAAACTTCTTACCTTATCTCATCCATCGTCTCTGTGTCAACCCATCCCTTTATGATGTAACACAGCACTTGCCTACGACTCTAGACTACCCTAAAGTAGACTGCAAAAAACAGTCCATATGCTGTCTATACAGACACACACAACACCAGGAACCCTCAACCTAACGTTTACAGATGCACAAGACTCTCGGTAGGAGCGCGGCCCGAAGCGCAACAGTGCAGGGTAGAACCTCGCACTGCGAGTGGAAAAGTTGAATCATCAGGAGTACTTGTGCTGTTTGGCTTGCAGTTCTTGGGAAAGCAGTCCCATGGTTCAAAGCAGTGGTGGTTCTAGTTTTGTTCGCTCCTCCAGCTTGAAAGCGCGTGCGAGGATTCCGAGGTGGTCCGCCATCGCGGCCGTGTTACGTCCCGTGCAGGCATCATCACCGAGGAGGACGCACCAGGGACGGAGCAAAACTAACTTTCAGGAAACCAACTTGCCAAGTACACGATGGATCTCCAATCGAAACGATTCAGCCACCTCCACTGTCTTACCTTCACAAGCCAGCGGTGATGGACTGAAGAGCAAAATGCCCCTCGAAAGCAGCTTGAAATGGCCTTGGAAGCACTGATCAAACGACCATGACTCTGGAGGCGGCAATGGCCTTCGCGGCAGCTTTGTGAGCCTTGAAGGCTTTGAGCATGTTAGCGTAGTTCCAGGTGAGGTCCTTGGCGCTGGTCATGGAGCCGTCGTTTCTGTTGATCTGCTCGGCCATGTGGAGATCCGTGGCCTGGACGTGGTGCTTGATGCGCAGCATCACACCATCTGCCGCACCTAGTAGCGCTTCCGCCAGGGCATTTCCTGAGAGCCCGTCCTCGATGTGAGTGGCCTTCTGGAGCAGGGCGTAGGTGCTTGCATCCAAAGGCCCATGCTCAAAGGCCGCAACAGCCATGCGGTAGAGCAGCGTAGCCAAAGAGGCCGAGAGCAGCACCCAAGGGTTGCCTCCGTCGTACTTGTCGTTCTCATAGCGGCCGTAGAGGATTCCGGGGATGCCGGCGGCGCTGTCCTTCTGGTTGATCTCGTAGGCGTTGCAGAAGAGGTCGTTGAGGGTGACGACGGTGCCCAGGACCTCCTTGCCCAGCACGTCGAACATTTCCGTGACGAAGCCGAGGTCGCCCACATTGAAGGCCTCGATGACGGCGGAGTCCTTCTTGCGATTCTGGGACTCGAAGACGAAGGTGCCATCGAAGTGGCCCATGATCGTCTTCTCGATGTCTGCCTTCACGCCTCTGTAGCGGCCAGCCGCGTCCTTGTCGCCCATCTTCTCTGCAAACTGGGCTCCCATCTCGAGACCGGCTCGCATGGTGTAGCGACCCCAGAAGAAATCCTCGGACTGAATCTCCTCCCAGAGATCGCAGCCACTCTGCTGCCAGTTGGACACCAGCCACTCCAGGTCATACTTGACGGCACCGCCGTGCTTGTCGTCGCTGCCAGTCCAGAGGTTCTGCTTCACGAAGTCCCCTTTGCCGGCCTCGAGGAGGGCCAAGCCGTACTCGGCCAGCGTCTTGGCCCGGAGGCCCGGTCCGTCAGTCTGCGGCCGGCACCAGGCTCCCTCGAAGGGCTTGCCGTCGGGGATGGTGTACTTGGGCTCCGTGCGGATGTCGATGCCGTGGGGATCCGCCTGGTTCTGCACCTTCAAAACCCACTGGACGTAGTGCTGCAGGTGCTCGTCCACGTCGGCCAGCTTCTCCGCGGTCGCCAGCAAAGCGTGGGTGGAGAGGGCCCCATCTCGTTCCCAGTGAAAATAGTAGTCTCCACCAGGTCCGGTGTTGTGATCCGGCGCGGCCACGACAGCACCGGAGCCCTGGATGTCGATGTTCGCCAGGAAATAGCTGCGCACCTTGGCTTCCTCCTCGTCGCTGAAGGGTTGACCTTTGGACTTGTAGGCGAGCTTGCACACCGCGCGGGGAGGGGGAGGAGGAGCAGGGCCACCTTGGGGGTAGAAGCACCAGGCTGCCGAGTCTGCCGGGCGCCAGCAGCAGCCTTTCGCCTCGCAGTCGCTCTGCGTCGTGCCCAAGACACCGCAGTCCTGGCGAGCAGAGCCCTCCACGTCGCAGGTGTCTGCGAGCGCCACTCCCACCACTCCGGCAGCGGCCACGCTCAAAATGCGCGAAAGAGCCATGGCTCGAGGCAAGAGAGGCTTCGCTTGCAGGAACACTGACGCTGACTACGTGCGGATCCTGGAACGGCGCTCTTAAGTCTCTGAACCTTGTATCTTCCTCAGATTCCGCAGCCACTGCCGGTGCGGATACTCTACCGCTGCTGAGACCGTCCGAGGCTTCCACGCAAAGACCATGACCGTCCCAAGGTAGAAAAACATAAGGGCAACAAAGCTCTCGAACCACTCATCCAGCACCTGTCCGTCGGATGTGGAAAGGTTTCAACCACCTTCAAGCGCTCGAAGACAGGCCTTTTGCATCGTCCGCACCCAGCACAGCTCGGACCTGTTGATCATCATGCCACGCACATGTCCAGAGTTGTCCCCCGCCGAGCTCCCCGACACTGCCACGACCAACGCAGGGATCACGTGCGTCAGTGGCCCAGAAGAATGCACTAGCAGCCTCAAAGCGCTTTAAGAGAGCCTTTGAGTCGGTCAGAATGATATGCTTAGGGCAGGGCCAGTTGAGAAGACCGACCAGCACGATGGCAACCTTGGCGAAACAACAGCCAAGGTTCCGGAAACAGCCCCTCGTAGTGAAGAACACATCTTCGACATGAGTGGCTGGCCACGAGCAGCCAACGCTGAGGGAAAATCCTGAGATTGACAGAAGCCTATACCCATCCTTTCTCGCAGCAGAGCTGAGAGAGCGGCCGCGCAAGACCCAGTGAGACATTAAGGGTCACCTCGGCTGTCATCCGCAGGCGAGGCCCGGCTGGGCACCGCCCCACCGGACTAAGTCTCAGGCTCCGAAGCCCAGGCCTTGGGTACGGGACGAGGGGTACGTGTGGGACATTACTCACAGGAAAATAGCTGCTGGGACTCCAGGCGTCCGGTAGCAGCACATGCCGTGCCGGCACCGCCATAGAGCCCTGCTGCAACCAGAAGACGGAAGGCGTCGGGTATCTGCGAACAATGCGAGTGTGCTCGCGGGACGATGCAAGTAGCTCATAAGCAGCATGTGGCCTCGGGGGGAGGGAGGCAAATCTGACAACTCAGTCGGTGGAGGCCTTGCAGCTTACAACATGTGACTCATCACCGATGTCCTGCGGGTGTCTACCGGCTGAAAGCAGGTGAAACGCGCGCTTGAGTCGTCAGACACTCAGGCGTCTACACGTGATAATCGCGAAACGACATCGTGCCCAGGTCCCTTCGGCAGGAAAGCCCACCTTCGACCCGGGGATGCGGGCAGAGCATTCCGAAGCTGTTTGCACACAGCCAGCGCCTCCCACAAATCCATCCCCTGGGCAGAGTGACAATCTGTGACAATGTGTGTGTGTGTGCATTATTTCCAAGACGGTCCACGTAGTTCACACCGCTACTGTGAAATGCACACTTCCATGATTTACTTCTTGGCTCGGCAGTTCCTGCGGGCTGCCTCCGTCTGAGTCCTTCAACTCGGCGCCATGACGATCCGAAGCTGTCATAAGCTTTCTGCGTCCAAATGACGAAGGGGATTGCTGTGAGCTTAAGCTCGTGGTGGTTCGTCAGGCTTTGCTATGCTGAACTTCGTGGAGCACCCTTGCTCCACTTCGGGAAATCTGGGTTCTTTGATTATTGATTCACCGGTGCCAGGGGGCTGCCGCAGGTTTTCCTTTTGTCCTTCTGAAGCAGGACCACTAAGCAACCGTGGACACGCAACGGGCTAAAGCGACTGCTCTCCGAAATTGCGAATGTGGCACACAGCCAGTGGTAGTGGCGGGCTGCCTGGTTCTTCATGGACTACCAAGTCTGCGCATGCACATCACGAGAGAAGCCGAAGCCGAAGCTTGAGCGAAAACACGCCAGCACTGCATGAAGGGCCGCTGGAAGGGCAAAGGTCACAAGGCCAGAGAAGACCAGAAGTGCTGAGCTGAGAAACAGGGCGTCCTTGTTAAGGGCGTACAGGGTCGAGAACTTCAGAGCCAGGTTCTTGGCATCCAGAAAGCCCTCGGACCTCGTTTGCGGGAAGAGAAAGAAGTTTCCAAGGGGCCGAAGGCTGAGGAGTCGGCATGAACATGTTTTCCATGATGAGCATGAAATCCGGCACCATGACGGTAATGGGTCTGAACAAGGCCTTGCAAGAGATTGCGACATGTACATGTCCAGAATGCCAGGTGTGTCGCTGCAGCCTTCAACCCCTCCGGCAGCTCCGACCGCCCCAGGTAACCCGGGTTCATCGTGATGAAGACGCCGACCTCAAGTCGCCAAAAGGCTTTACAGTAATTAGCCCCGACCCTCGCCGCGCTTACCCTAAGCTGCTATGGAACTCTGTGAGATCTTCCTCCCGAGCAGTCGGCTCCTCTGTCCAGGTTTAGTTCATCACCTTGGAGGAAAAATCGACCCAGGCGATTTCTCAGCGCATCGCAGACCGCCTGGCCAGTGTTGGAGTCTCTTAAGCATCGATACACTTCGAAGATATTCAGCGAAGTAGGCCAACAATCACTGAATTGCGTTGGCTCTTCGCTTTTTGACTTCTGCAGACTGCACAGTCTGCTGGGGCTAGGAAACATAAACTTGCTTCACGATGGGCAGCACCGTATGTGCGCAGCACCATGAAACAAGCACTTCATTGCCCGGTAAAGTTTACAGCTTCAGGACCGCATCACTTCGATTTGCCATCCAAGGAGGAAGCCTGAAACAAGACGCTCCGAGCAGGGCGCTATGCACGAAGCAGGCGAGTCCAGATTCCCGAGAAGCCAAGCATGAGCATGTGGAGGTTTCCGAAAACAGGGACCCTAATATAGTACCCTAAATATAGGATCCCTATTATAAGGACCCCAAAATAAGGTACCCTAATTTTCTGAAACTCCCATGTACCCAGTAGCCCAGCGCCTCAACTTGCTTTGATCGACTTGCCTTCAGCACGGGGATTTCTCACCATGATCATGCTACAGATTCCTTGCTGCATCTCGGAGAATATGAAAGGAATTTCAGAACGGCAACAGTGCCGGCAAAAACACTTCAGCCAGCCATGCCACCGCAGCGAGACATTGAACTCGCTTAGCTTTGAGTGGTTCCTTGCCTTATGCACATGGCAGACTATCCTTCAGACGCGTGGAAGCTTGAATTCCGAGACAAAAGACGAGATGTGCTCAAGGCATCCTGAAGCCCGAGATGCTGAGACGCTGAGTTTCGAAGAGTTGGCCGCCGCAGGTTTGCAGTCTGAATCCGCCTCCCGAATCCAGATATCCGACACCTTGTCGTTGGACTGCTCCCCGAAGTCGAAAGTCGTGTAGTACTTGCCTTGCAGGCATCTGATCCAGGCCGGCTGAATGACCCAAACTCATTCGCCACTCAATGCCAGCCCTTATCAGGGACCTCCCTCTACCGCTAGAGACTTGCGGCCTCTGGGTCTCTCCCGCGCCCTGTTGCCATTGGCGGTTGAAGGTTTAGGCCAAACCGCTCACAGGTGTCTGTCCGTGAAGCACCACCATCAGCCAAGAGGCGGAAAAACGGCAAGCCTATGATCCACAGCTCTCCCGCGTCGGATTTGGCTTGTCCTGTGTCCATCATCAGCAGCTCGCATTGATGAACCTTCAAGCAAAGGCTTTGCATTCGTGCTACCAGTACTTTCCGTGAGGGCATTCCCGAATATTCCCGTGCTCGCAGGCCTTGATGAAGGGCTTCTGCTTGAACAGGAGACGCCAGGGTGCTGGCATGATACCTGCAATAATGGCAACCCATCACGACCGTCAAAAGAACGGCTCACGGGAAATGTGCCAGCTTGCATAGGTCGCTTTCAAGAACGTCACACACAGCTGTGCAAAATCCCTGTGGAGCCGTTTCATCGCACATCTGCGGCGCATGCCTGAAATACTGAAGGTTCAGAGCCCAAATGCAGCAACAAGCCAAAAGTTCATCTTCGCCAGTCTTGCAGCTGATTGGCCGCGAAATCTTTTGAATTGGTAGATCCCAACGACCTCCAACTCCCTCCCTCGCAACGTGGCCGGGTCTGAAGAAAAGCGGGTCTAACTCTTTCGAAAGAGGCCAGCGAAGTTCTCCGAGCATGCATGAAATGAAACATGCATAATTCAGCTGCACCCTGCCCTGTGATGCGATGCAACGTAGTCTTGCTGGTAGGACATGATTTTAATTCTTCTCATTCCTCTGAAGCGTTGCCTCTTTACTGCTCCCCGCTGTAAAAGGCCCCGCTATTTTGGTAGGCCCCCTTGTTTCATTTCTGGGGATAGCACCCCATCACGGCTTATCATCTGCGTTCTGTCTTCAATGTAGGCCCAACATCAACTGGACCTGTGCTCAGGCGCCCCCGACCCGCACATAGAGATTGACTTTGGGGCCATCTCTCGTTCGCAAACTTGTGCCGAAGCGGCCGAAGCGTCATGAAACTTGCTGTCGGTTTCATGAAGGGTTTCGGACGCGAGCCTACATTTTCGTAAGTAGACTGTATACTCTGACTAGCAGGTGGCCTGACAACCTGCCGGTGCCTGCAACCTACCCAGGCGTCGCTCTACCAGGCCTGTCACAAGACCAATGTAGGCATCAGGTGACAGGACGATGGTCTGCCCTCCCAGATCAAACTCCAGATCGGGCAGGGTCTCCTAGCCGGAGAGCTGCAAAAAAAGTACCAAGCGCAATCCAAGCAGTTTAGGGCTTAGGGTTTACACAAACACAGGTTGACCTGTTCGGTTCGGCACTTTTTGCACATGGGTCCTCTTTAGCACAGTCTGCACCAATGGCTTCCTCGGCTGGGAATACAGCGTGCGATCAATGCGGCTCGTCAAACGACTGATATTTTAAAACAAACGATAAACATACAAGATCATTCCAAATCATTCTTTATCATCATGGTATATTATATAAGGGTATATTACCTAGATTATCGTATATGGTCTTATAGCTGCTCCACAGTTCATGCAGGCGCAGACGTGGCGAAGTAGCACGCAAGTCCAGAGCTGGCGCCAAGCTTCTAAAATGCCGCCCATTGCCTGCAAGCCGATGCAGGGATGAAACTCTGCCAAAACGGCACGGCCAAGGGTTTCAAGCTCTTCAGGGCTCAAGGCTCCAAAGCTAAGCCCGAGTGTGAACAAATGAAGAACACTTCGGCCACAAGCATACCGTGGAGCACAGCAACCGTTGTAACCACGTGCACTGTGTATCCGTGCATGCTGTGGTGCTTTTTGCGCTGCTGTCAGAGCAGGTCCGGATTGTGAGGCTGGCGCTAAGATGCTCTAAGCGAAGCTGCCCCACTTGCGCTAGGCGACGCGAGCTAGGATGGAGCTCTTGTGGTGCTTTGTCGAGGAGCAGAAAAGGTCATGTTCACGAAACGCCCATCATTCGCACATCTCGGTCATCTCGGTCTCCTCCACTCATGCTCTTTGCGAGCCGACGAATCAGATACCGGCACTGGGCCCCTTGTAGTCGCGTCTAAGCAGGAACCTCTTCCGGAAGAGATCCTGCTGCAGAAGCAGCGCCGCTTCCTTACGACTGATGTGGCTCATGTTGCTGATGCCACTGCCCGTTCCAGACGAAGGCGAAAGCTTCAGTGGGCTGCCGTTCAACTTGGCAGGCGTGGTGGACAAGGAAATCGACTTCAGCTTGGCCTTTCTCTCCTCCAGCTCCCGCTGCATCCGCAGCTTTCGCTGACGCTTCTCCTCAATCTGATGCTCAAGCTCTTGGGCTCTGGTCTTCAGAGCGCCGCAAGCTTGAGCCAGACGCGTTGCCGGGGCTGCAGTGGAATCGGCGAACTGGAGCTCCGGGAGACTTTGCAGCTGGCTGTCGATAGCCTGCTGTAACACCAGGTTCAGTGTCTTGAAGCGCTTTATCTCGTTCTTCAGCTCCATGTTGCTTGCCTGCACTTTGGTCATCAAAGCCTGAGCTTTTGGCAGCAGAGTGGCTGCATCGGCGGCCACCATGGCAGCTTGAAAAATGCACCTTGAGGTGCCTTGTTTCGTAGCCTACCCTTTGCCCGATGCTGTGCTGAGCATCATTGATGCATCGGATCTGTCTGGACTTGTGCACTGGCAAGGCTGTCGTACCGTGCGCAAGAAGCTTCGAACCGAAATCTGCTTTCATGCACAGACCTGGAAGCTCGACCAGAAGAGCGACCCTGCTCGAGACGCAAGACAGCTTCCTTGGGCGACTTAGATCCAATGAAGCCAAGAGGCTGTGAGAGCAGCAGTTGGACCCGAGATCAGGGATGTGCCGGTGTCCAGGATGGCTCCACAGCCCTCCCGACAACCAACCTAAGGCCGCAATGCGAGGACGGGCAAGCGACGCAGAGGCGTTTGGAGAGAGTTATACTATAATGTAATGGTATTTAAGACAATATTAAGAATAGTAAAACTACTAACAAAAACAATATAGATAACAAAAATAACAATAACAACAATGCATATATGTATATGTACTTATTCATGTATATCTTCCCGCCGCGGTCGAGGAGCTGTGTGGGAGGAGCCGTCTTTCTGCACCAGCCGGACATTCTTCAGGCTGAGGCCCCAGGTCACAGAGCCCACCACGGAGAGCCTTTGGATCTACCGCTGAAAATAACACTCTCTAGGCATGCATCTAGGTTTTTTTTGTGGGCTCTTCTCCACCTGCATAACAGACAGATCTAGGGTTTAGGGTTTAGGGTTTAGGGTTTAGGGACATCATCGAAAAACTGAGGAAGACATCTTCGACTTTGACTCAAGGACCGTCGACATCGCCCACGAAGCCACACAGCTCAACTGTATCCAGCCTCCGGAAGGGCTCCGGTCGCGATGCTGGTGCCAGATCGTTCCAGGTCATATATCCCTTCGAGCCTGGTGGGGAAACAGCTTGCAACGTGAAACCAGGAGAGATGGACAAAGCGCAGTCACGAGCAGGGCCTTCGGCGGCTCCTATGCAGACTGACATGTACCGCATCTGGAGATTCGCAGGCACGCTGTCGTCCAGGTTCTCCTCGCCAAGCACGTCAGCGAAAGCTCCGATAAACGTCACGAAGAGAACACAATTCACTAAACAGGACGAAAAGGATGTCCAGGACGGTATCTGCTGCCATCTTGGCCTCGATTCGGTTCTGCAGGCCTGAGCCCGAGATAGCCCGAGGCGGCCGACGCACAAAAGCTCGAGCTCAAGACGACGGAATGAGAAATGTCACACTTTCAGCCATCGGCACTCTTCTGCGATTCTAAGCGCGATGCGGGCCGGCAGGACGGCACCCCAGCCCTGGGCAACACTATATCAACACTCGGAAGTAGTCACTTTTTTCGCATGTGGGGTTTCAGAACATTAGGGGTACCTTATTTTGGGGTCCTTATAATAGGGACCCTAGTAATTAGGGTGCTATATTAGGGTCCCCTATGTTCGGAAACCCCCATGTGCTCGGTAACCCTAAACCCTAAACCCTAAACCCTAAGCCTGCAGCTTCTCTTCCAGCTTCTCCAGCTGCTCTCGGTCCATCTTTGCTTGCTCCTTCACGGCCGTCGGTGGCCCCAATCCTGCCGAGTTGAAACACGAGTCATACTGCTGTCAACTACATGGGTAGTTGTCAAAATTATGGTCCCTTTTGGGGTACCCTAAATATTATGTGCCGTATTAGAATAGGGACCCAAAAAGGGACCATAATTTCGACAACCACCCACATGCGCTAGGAAGTTGGTGACTCCTGCTGCCTCATAACCCCGAACCGCAGTATCATGAGCCCAGCTTGTGAACTGCTCCCCAAAGCCTTTCAACGCTGATCGCTAAAGCCTATAAACCCCCAAAACCTTTCAGCCCTAGAAAGCCGTGAATCCCAAAAATGTACCTCATGAGAGCCCCTGACCCTCAACCCTAAACCCCAAGCTCGAAACCCTAAACCCGAAGCCCTAAGCCCTAAACCCTGAAACTCGAACCCCGAAGCCCCCGAAGCGGGCCCACGGGGTCCTAGGATCGCCTGGAATTCGGCAGACCCGAGGATGCCCATGTTCGCCTCCATCACAAGCCACCTCAGCAACGCTGAGCCGATAGGAACAGCGGAGTAACAGCCTACATTATATCTCAGACCGTAAATCTTATATCTTCAATCATCTGTCCTGTATCCCATATATCTGATATGTTATAGTATGAAGATTATCGACCGTAGGATATGTATTGTATACGCCATAGCCTTTCGGGTTGAAGCTGACGGTTTGGGACCTGAGTGGAGGCTCGGGGACTTGGGGTCAGGCGGGTAAAGGGTCGAAGGTTTAGGGTTCAGGGTTCAGGATTCAGGGTTTAGGGTTCAGGGCTCCTGGTCTTAAGTAAGGGGTGTAGGTGTTGGGGACTCTTCACCAACCGAGGCACATGGGCTGTTTCTCCACGGAGAGTGGTCCTGCCAGATGTGGACGTCAAGAGTTTCCAGGCCCCGAAATGGGGCCAACTTCAGATCTCTTGGGTCCTATCTGCAGCTTGTCAACTGCATCCCTGCATAGCCTGATCGTAACAGGTTGTGTCTCTGGGATCCGTAATCCGCACTCATGAGCAAACCCGAGCTTTTTTGATTTTGCGACCGTGTGCATCCCTTTCACAAGTCATCTCACTGCCCTCACATGTGACGGTTGGAAGTTCCAGTGCCTGGAGGTGCCAAATCATCTCAGGAAGATTCTGCCAGGCAACGTGTCCCCGCTGCCATAACTCAGCTGCTGCATGAGGTTGCCGGCTCGGAAGGTCTGGCTTGACCTCTGCTGCGGCCAAAGGTATAGAAAAGATACTAGTAGAAAGAGCCGAGAATGCTCTGAGATGCTCTGAGACAGAGGACGTCTGATTGAAGCCGCTCTCCCCAGCAGCTCCACAGCCGTTGCAGCGCGTGGAAAAGACGACGAGCTCGAAGGAGCCCGTGTCCAGGATGGCCTCCGCGAGCCGAAGCTGTCGCGACCCATCCGTGCTGCCCAAACCTAATATAGGAACCATAATAATCACCTGTAAGGTTTTTGGGGGTTCCTGACTATAAGTATAGTAAAACTATACTACTTTGGGGGTTCCTGGTTATCAGTATAGTATAAGGGGCCCCAAAACCTGGCCTGCAGCTCTTGGCCACCAATCGAGATCGTACCTCGGCTAGTACAAAATAGAAAACAGCCAGGGGAAGGTCGGTCTAATGAGGCTAGACACCGGTGTAGGATGCATCATCCTGGTTTTCCTGAGCTGCTAGAATCTCAAAGCTGTTGTCAAGCGTTTTGGGGTATCTTACAGCATAGGAGGAGCTTCCACCTGCGCACCTGCTCTCTAATGCAGCGAGGTCGCTAATTCTTGAACAAAAGTGTCCTTGGCTGCGGAATGACCAGCGTGCGGCTGCGACCTCCTCAATCGCATCTTGCAGCTAAGGTGCTCCACTCCTGGATGCTGCCAGATGCCCACGCATCTGCAGGCCAACTTGAAGCAGGTCTACACAACTCCTGTCCGGGGGCAAGAAATAGAAAATGCACTATCATGATAATGACAGTGAAGAAAGGAAAACTGCTCAGCTGAACCTAAGCCTGACAGAAGTCGAACGTGTAGAATCATCGATTCACTGTCATGACTCAGGACTGAGAGGCTTGCGCTGTGGAGTCGGTTTCATAGAAGTCAGTGGACGATCCAACCTGCACGCAACCGCCCCACTTGTATATGAGCGGGTGTAAGCACAGACATGCACACGCACGAAAACAGAAAAGGGCGCACTACAATCCCATGTTCACAGCACGTAAATATCCACCAGGCCCTCGTGATTGTCTTGTCTTCAGGTGGGTTCAGTAGGTGTGCAACCTTTTCATTTCGCTTTGGCATCGAGGCCCGGCGCCTGGTGCATGGAGGTCCTACCCTCCACAGTCAGAATGCACATGGATACATAGAGAGACAGAAAGGTAGATAGATAGACAGACCGACGGGCAGACAGACAGATGGTTAGACGGGTAAGTGAGTAGGAAGGTAGAAGCATGGATTTAGGTGTGTAGACTTCCAAGGGCATACATACATATGTGCATAATTACAAAGTGTGTGAGAATTGGCGCCCATGCGAGAGGGGCGGACAGGTCTTCATTCACATTCACACACACATTCACAGTTACACAGATACAAGTACTTTTGCATATACAATTTAAAATTTCTGTTTTATGTATGTGCGTGTATGCTTGCTTACACACATTGGGCGTACATGCATGGAAGCAGGCACCTTGGGGTGGAAGGATGTCAGCAAAAGCAGCACCCATGCGGAAATTCGCACCTCGGGATCCACAACGCTCCTGCATTAGAGCCAGCAGCAAGGCGGCTGGGACTTTAGGTGGCTTTAGGGTACGTGACAAGCCTTTGCACGACATCTTTCGTCCCCTGGTCTGGCCAAGGTACCCTGGAATCCATTGTGGTTCGCTTAACGACGAAGCAGGCTACTGGGAGGTTCTTCCCGAGCCCATATGGCTGCAGTGCATCGCAAAAAAGAGGAAACCCATGATGTGAAAGACGGCAAGAGGGTCCTTTGCTTCTTCGCCGCATCGTGACCAAAAACGTAGATAAATGGTTTTGATGGTTTTTGCTCATCGGAAGTGCCCCGCCCCCGCCACCGAGGCCTTGTATTGAGAGCACGTCGAGATGCATTGGTTGCTATCGTAGATTATAACGATCCCCACCATCGGCACCACCAGCCTCATGATATTTTTTCGTGGCATCTTGGTTGCTGCTGTCGTGCCTAGTAGCAAGAATCGCTGGCAACACCACAATTCATGTTACTATTTCAAACTATTTCCATTGCAACTACTCCCAAGTTCAGTTTCTACTGCTGCAACTTTACTGTAGGTAACATTGCTACGGCTATTAGGCTATGGTTATCAAATATCATTACCACAGGTGAACCCAACTGTAGACTACTAACAGCCCACCCTACTTCCAGCTTCCAGGCGGGGCGTGCAGATCGGGAGGCGACCTTGAACTGCACGGTGCAGACGGAGAGAACTTCGGGCACCAACCGGTTGAACTCGTCGAAGCAGCCCCACCTGGGAGGTAGAAGTAGGGCCTAGGGGCTTCTGGAAACAAACTTTCAACAGGGGTTTCTACAAGATAAAAGTTGCTGCAAGGGTTTCTATGAGGATTACTTTAACGGTTACTGCAAAACTATATTCGGTAGCCTAAACTTGGATTGGTTCCTTGAGGTGCCTACTCGAGTAGTTTGGGAGGAGCTTGCCAATCGGACATCTAGACGGGTAGGGTGTGCAGGCTCCGGCAAAAGCAACAGCTTCGAATCGATCCAGAATTGAGGTTAGAAGTAGAATTATAAGTTGTAAGCTGTAACACTCAACCCTAAACTTCCCTACAGTAAGCGCCCTAAAGTAGTAGCCCTCTCTGCAAGCTGGGCAGGACCGGGTTGTCGCCAAGAGCCGAGGCCAGCACGAACCACTCGCCGCAAGACCCTTGAAGATGTTGCCCAAGGTCAAGTAGTCCTCGGAATCGGAAGGGTGTTAGGTGGGGGTTTCCGAAAACAGGGGACCCTATTATAGTACTAAATAGTAGGATCCTTATTATAAGGACCCCCAAAATAAGGTCCCCTCATTTGCGGAAACTCCCAGGTCTAGGCCATACGGGAGTTAAAGGTTTGGGGTTTGGGTGGGGGCGGGTTGGGATTTCGGATCGACATACCCCGGGTCCCATGAGCTTTCCCGCACTGTGAAACTCTGATGCAAACTGAGCCCTGAGCCATTTCCGGTGCCGCATTGATGACCTCAAGCCGACTTGTGCCAGCAGACCAAAGTCAGCCGGAGTGAATATCAAGGGGTTTTCGAAGGCGAATTTGCCATCTGAGAGCCTCACATAGCAGGCACGTGCCAAAGCGTTTGCCAGATCCTCCGCACATTCCGGTGCCATGGTTTGTCGGCCTACATCCCATCGTACAACTACAAGATACACTGCAGTGCGGGCACAGCGCTGCACTGAACCATGCATCTGCTGAGTGTCCTTGGTGCTCTCTGTCTTGCCTGTACCTGCTGGCCCTGCAGGTGCACAGCCCATGTTGAGGTGCAAAGCCTGGCGCAAGATGCGGGACTGGACACCCTACTCACTTGCAAAGTTTCCACATGCACCCGGTCTCCTGTGTGGCGGTGACATAGATGCGGTCTGTCAACGGTGTCACCACCAGGCGTGGCCCGTTTCCCAGGTACTCGTAAGCATACCTGCAGACGCTTTGCAGAGCTTCCCCGACCAGGCTGTCGAGCCACAAGTTATGAGCCGATTCATGGGTGGTTGTCAAAGTTATGGTCCCTTTTTGGGTCCTTATTATAATACGGCACCTATTATTCAGGGTACCCCAAAAGGAGCCATAATTTTGACAACTACCCTCATGACAGAGCGAGAGTGACAGCAAGGGAAAGATTGCGCACCAGATGCGAGCATCGCAGATCTGCATCTGTGCCGTCCCCTCGCCAGGCGGGTCCTGTATCTGGCATCAACTGGCTGCAGAAGCATCTGTCTGGTGCTTTTGGAGCACATTACTGTTGGACACAGGCCGCTTCCAAGCATCGACAGTCCGGAACCCAGTAGCACTTCAGCATGCTCTGCCACCTAAGGGCGCAGCTTTCATTCACACTATGCAAGACTAGCAAAACCAACGCTCAGCACGTGCACCGTCATGTTCCATTCATCTGCATCGTCATTATAGTATCATCGTAATCATCATCAATCATAATTGCCATCGTCATCAGCACCGTCATCATCGCCGTCGTCATCACCATTATCCTCCGTCTATGGATGCAGCTCTGTTCATGTAATGAAGAAGGACCGAATGAGATTCCGGGTCAATGCAGCAACGTCGTGCTGGTTGCTCTGTGCCAACACTCTGCACTCTGCACCCTGGGCGAGTACACGGTCGTTATCTTTGAGGCGACTGGACGCAAAGTATCGCAAGTCGTCAAGCAATTCATTGCAGGTCTTTGGAATGCTTCAGGTGATTTCGCTTGCTCTGATTCGCACAGATTCCATGTAGGCTGCTGCTTGTTCTTCGGCGATCTTTTGAAGCCACTTCTGCAGAAATTCACTCCAGAACTCTATGCTGCGCCGCTGCCCTCGCGACATGCTCGCTTTTTGTTGCCGCTTCTGAGAAGTGTGTGATTCATTTCGTGTCTTAATGAAGTCCTTGCACAAGGATGCCTCTTCCACGCTTATTACGGGCTGGCATGCTTAGGCACATTGATAGCTTCCACACATCCGACACTGTCAGGATGAACCGGTATCCGCCAATATCCGTAACTTCACAAACTCTGCAGTGCAAGGAGTGTAGGCCGGCTGCTGGAAAGCGTCGGCCGAAGTGACTTTGTCCTTGACCAACCGCTCCTTGTTGGGATGCATGTGCTTCGGCATGATTGCTGATTGCAAATCGTTTAACATGGCCTAGCCCTAACTAAAGAGGTGAAAGGGAGAAGGGCTCCTGAACGTCCCGGTTGTGGGCATCTAACGTGATGGCACACATGACCTCGCGCAAGCTACAGGCAAGCTGCTTACACCGGACTCAACTTGCGAATACTCTCAAAGGCTGCCTTCTGCCTGTCTGGCTTCGTAAGATTCGTCTGTGTCAAGCGGATCAGGTCGAGCAGAAGTTCTGCACGGATTGAGAACTCCACGGCTCACAAGCCACAAGACTCCAAGTCTAGGAAAGGTGCGGTGAGTCTGATTCTACTTGAAGCGGCCTTGCTGTCTCTTCCAAGCCTCCGTCACCTGAGCATCAAGCGGAGGCTCTGATCGGATTCTCTTGCCGCGCAGCTTGGCCTTCGTCTCAACTTCCTCGGCAACCTCATCGTCATCGTCGGGGTCCGGTGGAACCTGGTCACCAGCATTAAGAGCTTCGGCGGCTTCGGCCGAAGACCGTAAAGCACGGTGTGCTATGCGGCCACAGATGCCTGAAAAGCACCTTCGACCAGCTGGACCCATGTGATAAGCTGTACCAGCAGCGCACCTTGTGCCGCCTGACCCGGGGGAGTGCGCGACTCCATGTTCTCAAACGACGGAAGCTTGTTCACACAAATGTGCCTTCACTTCCAGCAACCACTTGCCACGGGCAACGCCGTCTGCCTGGAGTAGGCCACAGGTGCAGGCACTGGAAGCAAGTTTGCAAGCAAAGTAAGAGGGTGAGTGTGGTTTTGCTTGCGTCTTCTCTCTCTCGTCCGTCGGCTCCGTCCGTCTTAATCATTTCCAGCTCCGCCTGCCTCGCACTCATGCTCTGCATAGCTGCGCAGGTCTCTGATGGCAAAGTGCTTGAGAGCTCCACGGAAGGCCTCGTCAGTTCAGGAGTGGACAGAACACCACGTTTTGACAGGTTGTTTGAGTCCACCTTGCCCCGATCTTTTTGTCAGTCTTTGAGTACCCTCCACTTGGTCCGGAACCTCGATGCAGCGCTCCAAGTATACTTCGACCTGTCCAGCTAACGGCCACAACTCTGCGACGCAGTTGCGCTCTGCAGTGGCATGGCACCTTCCCGTTGAGGGGCAGCGGTTCTGGAAAGGGGACGAACTCCTCGTGGCATTGCAGGTAAACGGCAGCTCCCCCTTTAGATCCAAGGCTTTTCGGTCCTTGCCGATGCAGGCATGCATACCGGTCGCGACCGGTCGGGTCCCGGGACCGTCCGGGTACTCCAAGTCATACCTGTAAGAAGAGACGTCCCAGCTCCTAGAAAAAGGCAGGTCAGCTCTTGGGCACTTCTCAATGGCGTTGAAGAACTTCGGGAACTGAGGCACGACCCGTGCAGGGTTGTTCCTGGCGGCACGGAGCTATCACATCAACAGCAGGACCGAAATACTGAGCTCTGACACCAGGCCAGGTTCTCATTGGAAGCTGGAAACTCTCGAGTGCTAGGCCCTGTACTTGACAACCAACTCTTCAAGCGCGGCTTGCTCGACCCGTTGCTGAGAACATCCAGCAGGTTCGCCGAAGACATGAAGTAGAATCGCGGGAATGCTTGACCTCAGAATGCAGCAAAGGTCTCGGCGCCTGCACTTGATCTAACACCGCGTTAGAACATAGAAACTACTGGTGAGCTCAAACTCCTGAGAGTCCCAGCGCTTGCCATCCATGAATTCGTTGAGCGCCTGTTGAGACTTGAGTGCAAGCTTGTCGGACAGGTAAAATTCCCAATACGGACCTCCATGCTTATTTAATCTTATTTCTGAAGGCCTTCTCGCACATGGAGAGCTGAGTTTGCGTTTTCTCCAAGACCTGCAGAGAGAAGAAAAAAGTTGGGATACTGCAACATTGACATGGAGACGGGTTCCGCAGCCCGGCTTGCCTGGTAGATGCTTGGGTCGGCACAAAAGACTTTAGCAAACCGGGCCTGACAAGGCTCACCGCAAGCCTTCAGGAGTTCATAGCACTGCTTAAGTCTCAGCCAGGCCTCAAAGCCTCGACGGAGTAGCTGCTTCACATCGTCGTCTATTTCGAGGAAACGCTCTGACTCATCCGGCAACTCCTGATTTTTGACGGCGTCTCGGGACATGCCCGAAATCTTCAAGTGTCTGGGCAGGCGATCCTTCTTCACTTCTTCGGAATGGATGAACAAGTTCTCCAAGAAATCCCACGTTCGCAGTACCTCTTCTTCAATCTTAACAGACTCATGTACAGCTGGTCTACTTGCCTGGCACGCGTTCAAGCTTGCAAACGACCGTATGACCAGCCCGCCCTGATTTCTCATCGAGCCTCGCCCAAGAGGTTCGTCGTCTCGCTGATGTTGGCCAGCGTCTTCTGCCAACCCACCACCTACAGTCCCGTCCGAGATCTCTAGGCTTAGGGCCTACAGGGTTTAGGGTTAACTTCAAGACGAATGCCACCTGTGTCTCGAAAGTGGATAGGAACCGCGAAGCGAACATGTTCTGCACCTGAACCTGCAAAGAGACAGAAACCGCACGGGGGCAGATCCTGGGGGTCGGAGATGCACCGAAGCAGAGGAGGCCCCCCCCCCCGGTGGATTTTTTTGCATTTGGGAGGCCGCGCTTCAGGCACCTGAAGCCTTTGGAGGTCGAGAGCTTCGAGTCATTCTAGCGGAAGAGGAACATCTTCCTGTGTGGCCTCCCCGTCTACCCTCGAAGCTGTCGCTGTCGATGAGGGCTCCGTTTCGCTGCGAGAGTCTCCCTGAAACTGTCTCGTTACCCCTCGGAAAGCTTCTCGTTCGGTCGTCGATGAAGTCGATTTCCACAGGCCAAGCCTGCCCTTCGGACAGCTTTGATATCTTCGGCCGGCTGAAAGGCCGGAAAGCAGACTGCCGGCATCACGACTTCTTTCAGAAGCGACCGCCGGCGGCGCAGCCTTGCAGCGGTGCTGCGGTCGCGACCGCTGCGTTTGCGCACCGAGGTGCTCTTGCGCAACATGCGCAACCTTCGATGTCTGCCACGACTTCGCTGATTCGGAAATTCAAGAAGAGGAGGTGTTAGCAGGCTTCCAACCTGTCGTTCAGCCCTTGAAGATGTGCATGATCATCAGCGGCTCGACACACCTCGCTCCTGGATAAGCACCGTTGGCACTACATCATAAGTCGATAAGTTCATCATGTGTGTGTGTGTGTGAAATGTGAGGAACCAATCATCTTTTCTAGCATTGTAAAAACACTGAGCAAGGCTCTGCCAGCACATTGACGGCCTCCCTGGCCACGTCTTCCTGCGTGAAACAAATTGCAGAGGGATCACCGATAGCACAGCACAGGTGCAATTCACCCAAGAAGTCCGGATTGGGAGAGAGCATTGCATCACCTGAGGCTTCCAAATTCAACTCCACATGCAGCGGGAACTCAAAGGACCAATTCAGAAGCGTTCTGTCAGCCAAGTGTCGCAACAACACCAGAGCGAGCCCAACAAAGCGCAGAGTCATGGTGACGTTGACGATCAGGTGGTACGTCAAGCTCTCCTGCACCCGACGGTGACACTGCATGCTCAACCTCGTGACTGCACTGCGGGCCCCTGCCTTGGACATCACTCGCTGCAGCAGTCGAACGACAATGGCAAGGCCAAGACCTCTCAGGTGACTCACGGGAACAAATGTGCTTCCTGCGAGCTGCGAAACTTCAAGAACCAGCATTGTCATTAAATGGAAACTGCCCGGCCTACAGCGAACTTGAACCAGTGCTCCTTGAGCAATGCCGCGAGGAGTTCTTCCTGCGGTGCGTCGTGCGCTTCCCAAGCAGCTCTTGTCAAGGACGCAGTGTGAAACGCGAATAGATGCGAATAGCATGAAAAGCAAGGACACATGCAGGGTACACTCTTGGAAGCTGGTGAGCCTGCGACAGCCATGCGAGCCACTGCGAGCTCTCCCGTCCGGCTGCGGATGTTGGGGTCGGGATCGGTGTGCCAGCGGCAGCTGCAGCAGTTTTCTTCTTTGCCAACTCCTCTCATCCACGGGCATGCCGATTGAAAACTCTGCGCGACTACATTCTAGATGCGGTGCGGCATGCATGCTGGATGGAGCGGGCGTGGTGCAGAATCCAGCTTGCAACGGCCCGTCCTTGGCTTCACGCTTGGACCTCGGAGCGTATCCAGCAAGTGCTGCCTAGCTGTCCCGGCTTGGGAGACATCCTTCGCCCCCCAATCAGCAGTCAAGGCGCAACAGTCGAGATCTTTGCGGCTTCTTGCCACCGATTGATTCCATGAACAGCATCATGGCAATGACGACGAACAGATCCAGGCCGAATACGCTCAGCCACATGAACTTTTCACCTCGATGGCGCCAAATCGAAGGCTTTTCTTTTGGGGTCGGCGCCTAACTTGCAACACCGTCAACGGTCCACGAAAACACGAACGACATGCTTCCAGCAGTGTATCACGACTTGAGTAGAAGCAACTGTGCGTGTTCAGTTCTTTTCATGTCATTACCCGCTCTGCCATTCTTAGTTGTGTCTTCGACAGGACGCAGCAGAATGTCTTCACGCGGTCCCTCTTCACCCCAGCCATCCCAGCAATTCAAGACCTCCGAATGCTTCCAGGCCACCCGCGTGGCAAAGTCGTCCCAACCAGGATTGCAGTACATCCGAGGCATGCAAGATGGCGAGCCAAGACTCTGAAGGCTCCTCGAAGCTCTCGGATTGAACCGAGGAGCTCTCTGGGGCCTCCAAAGTCGCCATGCTCTGAGCCGGCTCCTCCCTTGGGCTTTCCACCGTACTGGATCTGCCTTCGGCGGAGTGTTGTGCACCCGACATCGGCGACACCGGCAATACCATGTCCTGCATCACTGTCACGTCCAGAGACCTTAGATGCGACAGCGCGACGAGACGCATTGGAGACGCATTGCTTTGTAACTGGCCGGACTCCCGGCACAAGCTAGAAAGTTTAAGCGTGAGCCATAGGCCCAAAAGTGACATAACTCGTCAGTCTGAATGTTCGGGTCACAAACTGCTTACATTGCCTGCCGCCCCATCAGCTCAGGGTCATTATGAGTCATTATGCAACAAATGCCCCCCCTTGCCCCCGAAAGAAGGAAAGCAGCATTGTTGCAGCCGGGAAGCCGTCGGAGAGTGGTGGTCAAGCGCGCGAGCAGGCGGAAAGACAGGGCCAGCTGCAGCCTCAGGTCGCCCCTCGAATGACGGGAGCTTTTTTTCTACATAGAAACAGAACCAGAAGTAAACTTCTGGCACAAGGATATGTAACCTACCTACGGCCGTCCCTCCATGCGTGCATGCATGCATGCAACACATATTCGTACAAACTAGTCCTGCGCCCACTTTGTTGTGTGCGTGCGCGTGTAACACGGTCGGCGGCTTGCGGACGGAGCCGCGGGAGCTTCTCGGGCAATTTTGGTGATGGGCTCGAGGATGTCTCAGAACCGATTTCCTCAGATCCGGTCCGGCTGGCATGGCATCGCACTTAAAGGCCAATATCTGAACCCACACTAAACCTTTTGGTGCCGTATTGCAGCCTTTGTAAACCAACCACAAAAACCCCAAACAAGGAGCCGAGTGGAGATCGCAGATGGCGCCCAAAGCGCTGACCACCGGGCCATCGGAGCGATGCGCAGCTTCCGGAGAGTCGCCAAGGATGCGAGAGATGGCCTCGACCTCCTCCTGAGTCCAAGAGCCAAGCTTCCCGAGGGCATTTTGCAGTTTTGTCCTACAGATACTGAAAAAAACCATGATGTACCATTACCTCATGGATCTTGTGGAGGCTCTCAAGAAGCTGCTCTGATTCCTGGAAGATACTGAGACCAAGGGGCGCTGATTCGACCAAGCGAGCCTTTCACCTTCCGCCAGTCATCCCCTGCGTGCAGAGCACAGAATCAGAAGCCCTGAGCTCTTTGGGGGCGCCCCCGGAAGCCTTCTAGTAATCCTTATAACCCTTATAGTAACCCTTATAGAAAACCCTAAAGGTACCCTTATAGTAATCCTTAACCCTTATAGTACCCTTATAGTAATCCTTATAGAAAACCCTAAAGGTACCCTTATAGGAAGCCTTTGACGAATCCTTCTAGAAACCCTAAACCCCAAACCCTAAACCCTAAACCCTTACAGCAACCCTTAGAGCAAACCCAGGCCTAAGAGCAGCTCTCCAAGGGCGTAGCCGGATCCCAGGACCTGGCTACGAAGGCTTCCGACGCCTTAATAGAATAGGGTTTTGGCTCCTCTATAGCATATATAGAATAATATATAGAATAAGGAGCCTAACAGTAATATGGGTAATTACTTAGACCTCTATATTATAAAACTTTTCGCGGCGGGTGTGTTTCCGCTTCAAAACCTCCCTGCGCCTGGTCCAAAGCGCTCGTCGTCGCAGAGCTGGGGCCCAGGAGCCTTGCCATGGAAGGTGTCATCATCTTAAGGTTTAGTATACATATTATATGTATGATAAGGACCCCAAAAATAGTATATTATATGTATCATAAGGACCCCCAGAATAGTATAATATATGTATAATAAGGACCTCCAAAATAAGATAATGTAATTACTAAGCCCCAATTTAAGGCCCCGATTTATCAAACTGCTGCAACAGCTGGGCTACTCAATTCAGGGCCAAGAAGCAAAGAAAGCAGTGCACAGATCAAGCGAGCCCATGTCAAGGACACCATCTCTAGGCTGCGGGTTTTTCGGGGCCCCTGAGCAAAACACTGACCAAGGGCTCCCTTCTTGAGCAGCAAAGCCCCGGCAGGTTCTCATGCAATCCACAGCTTCACGTTCTCAGGCGCGAAGCATTGCTGGCATCGGATGCCCTGATGATGCCTGGTTCTCTTCCAAGATCTCCACATCTTCATCCCGCAGTCGCATCAGTAGCACATCAGTGCCTGCCAGTACTCGTCAAGAACCCTTCATAACCCTTCGATGTGGAGCCGACCACCCCAAAAAAACCAGCCTTTGTGCTTCTCGTACACAAACTCAACGGTGGACCATATCCTGCAGGTACTGCTCACGTAACTGAAGCTCCAACGAACGACAGAAACTTAAGAGACACCATCTCGAGTACAAGACGATTCGGTCTTATGGCTGAATCGTCCTGGTGAGCTTGGCGATAGTCGCTTCCATCTTTGCCCTCGAATGGCAGTGTGCAGGAACAAGGGAGCCAAAAGAGGCAAAAGATGAATCTGTGCTCGGATGCGCACTCTTGCTTGGCTTGCTCACCAATCTCCTCCACCTCCGCTCTAGCAGTTCCAAGTCAACAGCTTCGAAACCACCCAGCGCCAGCTTTTGGTCAGCAAATACAAAACGACTGTCATCACTCTTCCATTTTTCGCCGCTGCCAGAAACCTGTGAAGTCATCAGAATCACAAGCTGTGCGATAGCACCGCCACAGCCTCACCATCCGATCCTTGGATGCTTAGGGCCATTGCACGAGGAGATCCCTGGTGCGACATGGTACTGTAAGATGTCTATGCTTCCAAAGCTTGTAAGGATCAGACGGCACTGCCGCTGGCAATAAAACCGTCAAACGTATGCAGCGCATGGACCGCATCTTCGGGCCCTTTCAAGGTTTGGACCACTTCCCAATGTGGCAGCAGCACCTGGACACAAGGGAGGCCCCGGGCCGGGGCTCGACAAGATCCTCACTTAGCTCGAATCCCAAGCTCTGCCATGACGCAATGTAAACCAGATGATCTGGCCCACCAAAGACCAGGTGGTCAGGGCCAAAACTCGCAACCTTGGCTGCAGCATGCTGCTGACAAGAACAGGCTGCGTCTAACAGTTTCCTGACCTTCGTGGCGAATGTCCGGGCCAGGCGGCGTGGGTCACCACGCCAAACTTCCGGGTCGCTGAAAGCAGCCGCGAAGTCCCTGGATCCCAGAGCTGGAGTGACCAGGGCTCTCGTATCCCAATGCCTTGGTCTTTGTCATGCAGCGGAGCAGTTTTTGTCCTGCTGTCTCCGATGTTGAGGCGAGCTTCGGTCATAACCACTCGTGGCCAGGGATTGATCCACAGCCAAGCTGACAACGCTGCCGTTGTTGGCGCGCCATGCAAGCTGCACCTGCGATTACGTCCAATGCAACCAAGACTACGATGGGCTTGCGCAGTTGCTTCGCGAATGAACCATGCCTCGCCCATTGTGACATTCCAAATCCTCACCCACCCATCGTCAGAAGCTGCGATCAAAAGGTTCTGGCGCATAAAGGCCAAGGCCTGCTTGCACACCACACTGACGACTCCACACTTTGCATCGCACAGCGACAGGAAGAGAGCCACACGACTACATCCGTATTTATGGGTTAGTGCATGCATGCAAATTACGATGGATGGATGGATGGATGGATGGATGGATAGATGGATGGATGGATGGATGGATGGATGGATGGATGGATGGATGGATAGATGGAGGGCTGGCTGACTGGCTGACTGGCTGGCTGGCTGGCTGGCTGGGTGGAGGGAGGCAGGGAGGGACGGACGTATGCATGCATGTACAGTTTGAGTTTGCTGTACAGTTTGAGTTTGCTGTGGTATGTTATGGTTTGGTAAAGTAATGGAATGTAAGATAGTATGATGTGGTGTAATGCATGGATGTACGGTTGTGCTTGAAGCATCTGTAATCATACGTGCATGCAGACGAGCGTACAAACATGTACGCATGCATGCATGCATGCATGCAGGCAGGCAGGCAGGCAGACAGACGGCGCACAGACACGCATATGCCCATGTTGGAAATACAGTTGTTTTTTGCATGTAGCAGGCAGGCTGCGTGGCTGGGTAGCTGGGTGAGCGTGTCGCCAACAGTAGGGAGCTGGCGAGCTAGCTGCCTTGCATTAGCAAGCTGGCAGCTAGCAAGCTAGGCAGGCAGGTAGGTAGCCAGGCAACTGTTAGGTAGGTCTTTACGCATGATTATTCATGCATGCATCCCTGCATGAATATGCAGCATGCATGCATGTATGCGGTTGCCCAGCCGACGGGCCCGGTCTCGGCCTGGATCATGACGGAGTCTGCCTGCAAAGCTCGATACCAGTTGCCAGGTCGCCACCACACACCGATCAGGCCACTCTTGTCACCGTGCGCAATCCACGCTGAAGAAGCCAACGCCGTGACCATGTGGCTCGTGTTGTAGAGGAGATGGCCCCGAAATCCATCGCCAGTCTTGCCTTGGCTGGAGTCTTGAGATGAGACGGGCGATGACCATGCATGGGCCGCTTGCCGGCAAGAAGCTCCAGACTTTCACCGTACCATCCAATGATCCGGTCAGGAAGTGTGGCTGTGCAGGCTTGTCCCCAACTTCTGGCTCGGAATGCACTGCCACCTTGGGCGAGCAGGGGTCAGGGGTCATCAGCGGCAAAGTCGTGACTTGCAGCGTCTCCGACACCAGTATGCGCCTCATGACCAGGGGCCCGGACTCTCCAAACCTCGTCTGTGTGCTCGTCAAGCATGTGCCTGCAGTGGACAGCGACGAAAAGCTGATGGCATGATATCAAACCTGCAGACACGCCGCCGCTCCCACCGCGCAGGCTCTGCCGCAGTCATGTTCCAGACGTACCTCGGAAGTCGTCTTCGAGACCAAAGCCAGGTTCAGCTGAGTCTCATCTGCCAGTGCAGCCGTCGTACACCATGTAATCGAGTGATGGAGCGATGAGCAGACGATGCCTCTCATCTGCAGCGATGCCCCAGACCTCAGGCCGCACCAAGGCCAAAGAAAGACACGCTCACCGACACCTCAGAGCGCGGCCATGCCACCGACCGGCTCGGAGAAGGTCAGGTTGCAGTCGAAGGACACAGCTTCTCTGGTCGGCTTCCGGCCAGCTCCATCTGAGGCCGTGCAGAGAAAGCGACAAGACCAGAGCGCCAAGGGAAACGCGAGCCCCCGGCAACATGGAGTGCATAGCCACAGCCATGCAGAAGCATGAAGGCCTATTGTCCTGGACCGGCCGCACCAAGTGAGGTTTCAAAAACTGCAGTCTGTTCTAAGCGGTAAGCATTCGTGCCTGGGCATGAATGTCTACCTGCTCCGTCTTCGGGTGCCGCCCATCTCTGTCACGGAAACACCGTCAGGATCGGGGCCAACCAGGACCATCGCCGACTATGCCGCAGCATTCATGGTACTTCGTTTGTCTGCCCGCAAAGTGGCTCAGTCTGGGCTGCTCTGCAGCTGTGTCCCTTGAGCCCAATGCTCTTCGATGCAGCACAATGCCATGGAGAGCATAGCAGAGGCCACTGCAAGTGCGAGCCCAAAGTCCCACCCAGGGCCTCTGTTGGAAATTTGTGAAGTTCCATGTTCCACATGTCACGGAGAAGGAGCTCCTTTGAAACCTGAACTTGCGACACGTGTCTGTGATCTGTGTGATGCAAAACTTTTGCACCGGTCCTCCAGCTGCTTGTCACAGAGAGTCACCAGAGCCGACCAATGTCTGGGCCTAGGAAAAGCGCTGAACTGCCTTGCGCCTTGAACATTTATCATTGTCAGTATTTTACTATTCCTATTCTTATCATTACTATTCATTATCATATATGAATACAGGAGCACTGTGAGCGCTGGCCTCATAGACGGGTCGGAGAGCTCGCCAACCAGAGGGCAGAAGATTACCCATCGCTTGATGACCTGTCAGCGCAGGATAAGCCATGCCACCGCACCGCTCTGCGTCCTAGTGCAGTGCACGCATGATCATCCGACATGCCCCTCCTCCTGCATTCCAACGTACACATCCACTTTCTTGTCAACTTTGTACTCCTCAACAGAGATGCCGAAAAGGCAAGCCACGAAATGCAAGTACGAGTACCATGCAAACGTTCGTGCGTTCGTGGTGTCCTTGAGTTTCTTGAAGTTTGCCTTCACATCGTCTTCCATCTGCAAAGCATCCACAGTGCCCCACCTCAACAGACCATTCATTGTCTCCGTTGCCCAGCAGCATCCCGAAAGGGGTCGGAATTGACGTCGAGACTTGAGGCTTGCATTTCTGCACTTCAGAGTGCTGATCGGCCTCTTGACCAGATAGGATTCCGTCAGTCGGATCCTGCAGACTCGCTCAGATAGAGGATGAATGTGTCTCAGCTCCCTGGGCCAACCAAACCGTGCTCTGACATCTTGAGGGTCTCATCATGGATCATGGGAGCTAGCTGTCCTCTCCACCTCGTGGTCCCAGAGCGCCTTGATGAGGGCCACGTCCTTTTGCTAGTTCGACGACCCGATCGCCAGCAAGAGGCAAACCGCAGAGTAGCCAAGCTTCTACAGAAATCCGTCTCAGCGACTAGAAGCCATCAGCATCCCCTATCTTTTCGAGCTGAGCATGCCGATTCTGCCAGGCAGACGATGCCTAATTGTGCAAGCCAGTGACATTTTCAGCGCCAGAAGCTAGTCCTGTGCTTCAAGTGTAGCATAGCTGCCCTGCCCTTCAGCCCCACGGCCGAGGGTTGCCACTGTCCGACTACATGTCCAGCGACGCCACCTGTACATGTGCACCCGCCCTGTGCCGACACCCTGGGGCCGCACGCCCTCGACTGCTGGAAGGCATGTGGCCCACCCTAAACCCTAAACCCTAAACCCTAAACCCTAAACCCTAAACCCTAAACCAAGCTATGGCCCTGGCCCTGGCTATGGCTTTGCATCACATCACACGTGATGATCCTTGGTACCTCTTGGCAGCTTCGGGCCTTTTGACACCCTTGCAGAGCTGATGTCCGTCTTCAACGGACAAGCCACAAGTCATGTCACATCTCGAGACCACGCACGGGGCTTGCTGTAGCAGCTAGCTACACTCTGTCTGTCTGTATGTGTGTGTGTGTTTTTTTCTAAAGCCCACGTGGCATCTATGCACATGCAGGTGCTGTGGCTACGTTGAACAAGTGGCAGGTTCCACGATGGTTCATCAAGGCTAACCGTGTGACGCTCACGTTCTTGTTACAAAGGCAACTCAGAAACCTGCCCTTCAATCCTGAGACATGCCAGCTCCGTAGCTTGACTTCGTCAAAACAGGGCTGGCCTTCCAAAATCAGGAACACATAGCTGTGCGCCGTGAGCACGTCCACCTGGGCAATTGCAAAGTGGTGCCGGTGGCTGGAAGCTGATTCTGGCACTTGCCGGATCTTGCTGACTTTCTAGTCCTTTGCATGTCTCGGAAGAGCGGAGAAAACATCACAAAACCTGGGGGCCATGCCAGCCAGCTGGTTACCAGCGAGCCGCAAGGATGCACCCGAGCTAGTCCCGGGCCGCAACGACGGATGGGGGCCGACCATGGGGCCTGGGAGGCACAAGCCTTCAGGAGCCTCCAACTCACGACTTTCCCGAGAGCCCCGCGGGCAGAGCCGCCAGCATGCAACAAGGGCGACGAAGTGCTCTGCTGCATGCCGGGGCTTCGAGGGCAGCTCGCTGCCGCCCCCTGTGGCAACTTGAAAGAAGTCGTTTACCAGATGAGCGACGCATCGGCAAGGATGCAACAGCTCGCTAGGCGCATGGCCCCGCCGTGCCACGCATCACCCCTCAAAGAAGCGCGGCTGGAAAGCCCTGCAAAACAGAGACTAGGCTAAAAGAATCATCAACATGTCGTGCACTCATGGACACTTGTAGTCTCTTGTTGCCTGAACGAGCATCCTCCACGTCCTCTAGGCGAATGGTAGATGCCAAATGTTGGTGACCTTGGCGTGCCAGTGCTTGCTACCCATATTGAGGATTCATGTCAGAGACTTTGCGGGTCATAACTGCAGCGAAAGCCACTGCTGAAGGGAAGGCCGCCTTGCCTCTGATGTCCAGGCAGCATGGACCTGCCGTCCTGCGTCTCACTTGCTGGACTGTCGGTGGGCCGGTGGGCCGCGAAAACGCAGAGCGAGCAAGGTCCTGCGCATTGCGCAAGCCGAGAGGCGGCTGCCAGCCACAGGGAGAGTCGCCCCGAGTCTTCGGGGCTCCTGTCCCTGAGCGTGCTGTGCTCGTGGAAGTCACATCAAATCAAAATAAGCTGCGCGGCAGCAAATTGCAGACGGAGAAATGCTTCGGCATAGGCATTCCAAGTCAAGGGGCCAGCTTCATCGTCCATGTCTTCGAGTCTGAGCGTCGCTGCGAGGTCTATCCGGCCTGAATACTCTGATTGAGAAGCCCTGCGCTGATGATTGAGATCATGTCATGTATTGTTATCTTCATACATCGATATGTCAGCTCAGCACAATTAATTTATTCCAAGGAGCCTTTCAAATTCGAAGAGAACCTGGACTGGCCGGCCGGCAGAGGCGGGGAAGGTCCAGAAAAGACCGCCTGCCATCGCAAACAGAACTCCAAGACGCTACCTGCCATCGGGTCGTCTGTCCTCCGGCTGCGCCATGAGCAGCGCTTTCGCAGAGACCATCTGCTGCCGTGAGGCCGCTCCCTGACCCGGCAACACGACCCAGCAACCAGAATAACATCCAGGGAGGTTGCCGTGCCTGGGGCCTCTCCTTCTGTGGGCTTACGGAGTCCACAGCAGCTCGCCCTCTGCAGAGCTTCTCCTGAACTCTCTCAGCACTTATGCACCTCGCACATCGGCATGACAGCGGAAGGACCTCCATGGCCATCCCCGCAGGAAGGTAGCCGGAGTCCTCGTGCTTGCAGACTTTCTCCGATACACCACGGCTTGCTTACAGGAGCCGTGTGTGAGAATCGTTCCAAAGCCACGCCTGTGTGTGCGGCGGCAGCTGTGGAATCGAGTCGCTCCTTGCCGCTGCTCGGCGCCTCTTTGGCGAGGCCGCCGGCGACCTGGGTGCTGTTGCATACGATTGCACTTGCTAGATACAGTACTGCAAAAAATATGGTGCTTCAGCGGTGCAGGACGTGCAGAGTCAGCGGCTGTGTAGACGTCAGTAGCTCGCCCAGCACTGCATCCAAGGAAGAGCTCCAGTCCTACAAGACTGGTGACATCTTGGAAGCATGTGCAGCTGCCGGCGTCCCTGTGTCTCCGCCTTCTGTGACGGCACACGTCGATGAAAGCCCAGTGGCGAAGGAAATCGCAAATCGCCCAACCTTGAATGCAAGGAACCGCCGACACTGAGGCATTACCGTGTCGTCGTCGAAAGACCGAGACTTCGGCGACTTCGAAGGAGCGAACGATTCTCAAGCTCGCACAAACCGGTCAATGTAGCAAGTCGAATCCTTTGAGTCGTCTGAACGTCTCTGCAAGCGGCTCGTTCACCTTGTCCTTGCGAGGACTAAAAACATGCAACAAGAGCTCTCCGAAGTCGCGGCATGGAAATGACGTTTTGGGAGAAGTACGACATGGGATGTCAGGGACCCGCCTCTGTCGCAGTCTCCAGGTCCGAACTCTGCGGCTTCTTGGGCAAGGGCTTCCTTGGCAAACAGGCTCGAAACCTTCGCCCCGAACCGCCGCCCTGCATCTGCTCGCATTCTCTTACCGAAAACTTCAAGAAACTCCGATTGCTCATGAGCCCCCGAAGGTCTGACATGCTGCCAAAGTAACGATGTTGAGCGGCCTTCCCGTTGAGGAACGGTGTCCGCTTCCGGCCCTCGACAAGATGGGGCTCCAAGTTCCGGAAAGATTATGGCGCATGATGTCATGTTGGATTATACTATAGATTATAATATTCTTGAGTATATATTGTGCTCTGTTGCAGTGTTATCACCATCCCTTTGCTACCTCTGACCCAATGTTCCCAAGGAGTCCTGCGTCCTGTCTCCTTCTCCGGGAAGGGCTGCGGCTGCCTTTCAGTCTACTCTGGCACACAGTGTGTAGATATGCATGTGTATACACACCTGTATAAACATGCAGAAACTCAATGCCTCTAGAGGACCGTGAAAATCTCTTGTACAAAAGCTCTAGACATAGGCATGTACAGATGAGAACAGTAAGACAAAATGCGACTTATGAAACGCATCAAGCCAAACAGCACTGGCGCATTCAAGCGCAGGATCGAAAAATCGAACGTGAATCTAAACGATACAAAGATCAAAATGCAACTGCAACTTCAATTTTGAGCAGGCTCTACTAGTTTATAACCTTCTTATGATATCCTTTCACCCACCACGACACACAGTTGACAATTACTGTATTAAAATGTAGCAGGATGCAACCATGCCTTCTTGCGTGTTCAAAGACGATCGTGCTGCAACGAACATGTTGCACATCAAGACAAAATTACACTATTGCTTCAGAACCACAAGCAAGCATCGCAATGCGAAACGTTGTACGATGATGTAGATGATGTACCCTGTAGTGTGTGAAAACAATAACCGCAACCATATACATACACATAGGACGCATATGTATATAGCCGTAAGAACCTGTGCTATAGATATAATTAAATCATCTATTGATATGTTTTCATGTAAGAGAACGCATCGCACTGCATGATCGTACCCTGCCTCCCCTTTCCTCCGGTAGCTTGGAGCCGGGAGCAACGCGCAAGCCCGCAGAAGCAACGTTGACACTTGATTCACACCTGCAGCGACAGGTATTCGCACCGACGTGCCAGAATCAGCCGTTAATCGTCCCGACAACTGAACTCCCGTTTGCGGCCAAGAGTCCGCACTGAACACCCTTTCCATCGCCTCTGAATGACCGTCGCAGCTTTGATTCTCCGCGCCTGGAAACCACCACGACAAGCTGCGTGAACTGATTGGGGCACCCTTGGGACTTGTGACGACGGGCCTCTTCAGCGATAGCGGCTTCTGCAGCAAGCCTGTCCCATCCGCTCAGCAGCTACTCTGCTCAGTGCTGCAGTGACATTGGACGTGACAAGAAAGCGGCACTCAGTGAGTTGGCGAACCCTTGGGAGCCGCACCTCGCCGCTTCCTCAGGGGTCGGTCTCGAAAAAGAGCGAATTCACCGGCAGCCAAAAAATTCCAAAAACCAAAAGAACCACGAACACCACTGGGTACCTACGAGTGTGGCCTTGCACCTTCGAAAGGCAATGTCAAGCGATTCTGGCCTTCTCAGCCTACTACCGACTACCGCCGGATTGTTCCGGCCGAAGTGCTTCCAAAGTGAACGATTTGGGACTTCCTGCCTTTCTCCGCTGCACCCGAAGACTGGAGAGCTTATCCTGAGCAACGGCTCCAAGAAAGAATGCCAAAAGACGCCAAAGAGGCTTCCGAGCTTCTTTTGCAAAAAGCGGCGCCCTCCACGGACAGCGAAAACAACGATGTTGCCAAGGCCGAGGTTCTCTGCCAATCTCATCGAACCAATGCCG